TTTTTTCAACTTGACATTTCTTGATGCCAGTACAATGACATCTTTGTATTAAGGTAGCAAACATTTATGAATGGAAAGTAGAAATTATAATATCAAGTAAGTAGTTTAAGTATTAAGTAAGTAATTAAGTAGACAATTATTAAGTAAAATAGGTACGTAGGTCTTTCTGTTAAATAACCTTGTTCCCTGATATGACAACTTACTAGGGTTGACAAAAATTTTGCCTTTGAATTAATTATATTTTTACGGGGTATTTTATAACACGTTGTATACTAGGGATATGTATATATAATTAAATGTACGAGAAAATGGTAAATATCGTGCTTTTGTATTCAGTTTCTCTACAAATAACTTTTCTTTAGTGAAAAATTTTCCTAGATGACTCGCATATAAAAACCAAATTATCTAGGCAATAAATTTAAGATATTATAAAATTGCGGACTTCAAAACGTAAACAAACTGCTCGATCCGAAGATAATTTACAATGCAAGGCATCTAATATCGCTGTTACTTATCAAGGAAGACCTTTAAAATTTTCAGAGCCTATACTCAAATATGAGGTCTCTTAGGATCAATGAATTCTATAAATTCGTAAATAAAAATTCTATAAAAACGCCATTCTAACTCTATCCACCCCGGATTCATAGATTTATCGCAAAGGTTATCTGTTTTAAAATAGATATTCGGCTCTAGAATGTTCTTCGCTCAGCCACGTCTTTGAGCACAGAAAATACATAGCGTTATGTCGGTAGGAGTAACGCCATCTGTCATCAAATAGCAGATACGGATATCAAAACAACTAGCGCTATCGGGAACGGTAATATAATTGAAATCATAACAATCACTAGATTAATTAAGTTAATGACTCTGCGTATAACCCATGCATTTTTTCTTATACCAGAGAAACTGCCAATTGGCTTCCATAGTTTTCATGTCACCTCACGCAATAAAGGAAAATGAGTATGCTTGAAACGTAAAATCACAGACCGCGCGAAAACTTTTATCTACACGTACAGATTTATAATAGAAAAGACCGTGCTGCAAGTAATCCTTCTCTTCTTCTTCTTAGTCGGTCTCTTGAAGATCGTGTCTAGCTTGAGGTGTTGATCACTCAATGCACCATGATTCTTCGCGTCTTCCTATCCTCGGTGGTCTTTATAGCCTCGGTTATTTTCAGGCCGGTGAGCGTATTTACCAGATCTGTGTGCTTAGTGCGAGTTTTTTAACGTTCTCGATAGCGTAAAAGTTAGCTCATATTTGTATGGAATGGGATTGTTTGCGTACGTTTGCCGCTAGGGGCGCTGTTCCAACTGCATACAAAATTCGGTTAACTTTTACGATATCGAGAACGTTAAATAACTCGCACTAAGCACACTGATCAAGGGGTAACTAAACGATCGCGTGCTCTTCTCCCATCAACCTGACCAACTACCATCAGTTTCTATAGGTTATTAGTAATTATACAAATTTATAAAATCTTGCGCCATATTATTTCTTCATTATGGAAATCGTTCGTGATCAGGCGGTTGACATCTACGAAATGCTTTAGAATTTTTTAATTATTTTTTTTATTGCTTAGGTGGTGCACGAGCTCACAGCCCACCTGATGTTAAGTGGTTACCGAAGCCCATAGACATCTATAAAGTAAATGCCATCACCCACCTCGAGATATGAGTTCTAAGATCTCAGTATAGTTACAACAGCTGCCCCACTCTTCAAACCGAAATGCATTACTGCGTCACGGCTGAAATCGCCGCACTGACTCGCAAGAGTGTCCTACCACCAGTAATAATTTTGTTGACATATTGCTCTAATAATAACAGCCTAATTGAATTCAAACCTGCCAGACAGTTAGCTGGGATCGTTCGGTACGCGAACCCGTCGTACCGCGGACGTGAGTGGGGCACCAATACGCGTGTTATTGCGAATAAGACCTCAACGCCGCGACTCCTACGAGATAAACGTACCAACACATGAAACGCCTAATGAGTTTTAATAAGCCTTATCTATATATTCTTCTTCTTTAGTTTTTGGCTCCGGCACGGCTTGTGCATTAGCCAGCGTCAAGTATTAAGCTTTTTGTAATTCGCCGTTTTAATTATTTACAGCTTATGAATAATAAAAAACTAAGGAAACTTTATCAATTGGCATGAAATGAAATTAAATTAAATGAGATGATATGGGATGAAATATAATCTCATTAAAATAAATGGTCGTCATTTACTGAGACTTTTTCAGTTGACTTTTTGGAGGATCCCGAGAATTTATGTTCAGCGGTTTCGATCAACTATTGTAACGCGGCTTTGTTTCATTTTCCCACAATTTGTATATTTTCACAGATACTAAACAGTTAATAAACAACCGTTATTACACATTTAAACCCGAAGAAACACTAAACAGACAAAATAAAACAAATCACATAACTTCAATCCTCGCGTTCCCGCCAAAAAGTCATCTATAGATTCGCTCTCTGATTTCGGAGCGAAAATTATAATTATGACAAACGTCAAATGTGTACGAATGTCATTTTACAAGTGTATTTATTATCTGTGCATTTTACTAAGGTGCAAGATATATTAGATTAGCTAGTTTGTGAAATAGTATGGGTCCTAATTTTTTTATTGCCGTTTATAATATCCAATTAGATTTTATGTTTATTCGTATATGTATAATAATTATCGACAAGTTTTAGTACCTACTTAAAAAATCAAGTATTACAGATTCATTTCCCCCACGTTCGTGAAAATTTCGAATTATGTTACGATTACTGGACGAACGAAGGGTCATAAAAAAAGAAGGTTCTTAAGAAAGAAGGAAGATTTATGATAAAAATAAAAAGATTGTCATTTTATAATGACGTCATAGTCAAACACTGCTGATTCCAAAAAAAATGTTTTAATATTTATATAAAATCGACGCATAAAAGCTCAAGCCAGACTAACTAATTTGTACCGTAAAATTTATTCACGAAACTCTCAAAGAGTAAGCTGAAACGCATTACTGCTTCACGGCAGAAATAGGCAGAGCGGTGGTGCCAACCCGTGCGGACTCACAAGAGGTTCTACCACCAGTAATTACGCAAATTATAATTTTGTGGATTTGATTTTTATTACACGATATTATTCCTTCACCGTGGAAATCAATCGTGAACATTTGTTAGATACGTATTTCATTAGAAAAATTGGTACCCACCTGCGGCACTCGAACACCGTTACATCGCTAGATACGAATGCACCGGACGTCTTATCCTTTAGGCCACGACGACTTCGAAAGAGTCTAGATTTGAAATAAATAAAACAGCAAACAAAAACTACTCAGTAATATAAGACAGTCTTTATTGTTATTAAGTAGCACATAAACAATATACAGCATCTAAAAAATAACATTTGTAAACATAAAATATTTTAGGAATAGAAACGATTAACATTAATCGGTTCACAACTATAATTAGAATCTTTTATCAATTAAATAGGTCTATTTGTAAAAAAAAAAACATATAAAAATCTTAAAACTATGAACTGGACCGGTGAGTTACTGAGATAAACAGAAGTATTACTTCAAAAGCCTCTAAGAGAAAGCTCTAATGATATGCCATAGATATAGTACAGAAAGAATGTAAATTACATATAATTGACGCATCAAGTGTCTATACATACGTATATATATACCGAATACCTGTTGTACCCATACTTCGGTGGGATCTACCATCGACGATTTATACAAAAAAAAACTATTTGTTTTTGTGTAAAATTCAAGAATAAATTGATCAATATTAAAATTCATTTAACTTCATTTAATGTAAACCAAAATTTCTTCTGAAAAACACATGTTTGAATTTCTTAGTGCACATATCGAAAATATTAGTCTATTATCAATAAACGCATCCAACTTATCTATACTTGTCTAATTTATGCACTATGTTTAACTATTTTTAACATTTTCGATAATATGTTTCATTATTTCATTATTCAACATTAAAATTAAAATATTTGAAGATTCTTTTTTTTTACAAATGAATCACAAGTCCTCGTATGAAGTTGTCCATGAACCAATCCAATTGGTAAAGCAAAAGTAAATTCTAATTACTTTCAGAGTCGTTAGCGTTCGCTGAACTGTAATCCCTCAAGAAAGCCAGTCATGAGGAGTACTTTGAAACAAAAAGGACCGACTACACAGCGACTAACACTAAACAGTTTACGAACCGACAAGCTTTGTTAGGCCGAACACAATTGAATCAGAGACATTCCGAGAGAATGTTCGAGATTAAACAGTAGCCTTCAACGTGCAACTGTGGTATTGAAATAGTTCAGTGCTAACTGCTGTTTATTTATGGCTCGCGGTATCTTTGTAAATATTTATTTAATTGACAGAATTCAAAAGCAGACCCTGAGATTCCTTCAAAAGTTATCGTCAAAGTGTACACTGGATTACTTTCCTAAGACTAAGATTCAAAGAGCGGCTTTTGATGCCCAAAGCGCTGAATATATATTTAGAAAGGAAAGCTGAGCTCACACCGGCAGCGAGCCTGTTAAAAAAAAGCAGTCAAAATGTATCCTTTGATACATTTCAGTGACGTAGCATTCCATTAAAACACTATGAAACTTTGAATAAGAATCTTTGTAAAGAATAAAAGTGTATAGCCATCTTATGACGTCATTAAAACCGTTTTAAAATTTATATACAGGGAGATGAAAAATATATTTTAATAAAATTTGAACCTTTAAATTTTTTAAAGTTTCTAAAAAAAAGCTTTAGAAATTACTTGACAATGACCATATATTTTTAATTACGGTCAATTTAACCGATCATATTCGTTGTTTTACACAAACTATATCTAACTATAATTATAAACTTTTGATCCATAACGTTTCCATCACTACTTAATATAAAACAAAGTCGCTTTTTCTGTCCCTATATCCCTATGTATGCTTAAATCTTTAAAACTACGCAACGGATTTTGATGCGTTTTTTTTAATAGATAGAGTGAATGAAAAGGAAGGTTTATATCTATAATAACATCCATTAAATAGTGAAGAAATCAATAATAAATTACAGTTTCCGAAGCGAAGCGAGGGCGGGTCGCTAGTACAATTATAATTGCGACAATTAATAGAACGGAGGTCATCATAAACATTTCGATCACAATTTATTCCACTGGTCATTTATGTTCAGTGGCCAAACGAAATTCATCAGAGTCACAAAAACTAAGAAGAGTTATTAAATTTAACAATCTATTTCAACATTCATTTCTTTCCGAACACAATTTCCACACCCTGAACGTAAACATTACGGCTGACCTATTTCCTAAGAAATTTAAATATAAATTTCATAAAATTTCGCAGCTTTCATATTTGACTTAAGTGTCAACATGAGCCAACTCTAAGTTGAAATCGTATTCAAACGTGAAAAAATATAGTATTATAATAAACATAATAATATATTTATAATAGAAAGATTGTTTATTGATTTCATATAAAGGCACTTGATTTACACTATATAATTAAGTGTTTATTATGTGTGTATATAAATTTAAACAAAAATTTGACCGCTTTGAAAGCTGTCAGTCACACTGTCGATGTCAATAAGAATTTTTTTACATTCACGAACTAGAATGAGGTCTATTTTAAATGTCACTTAATCACAAACATTTCTCAAACCACACATAACATAATTATCGAAAACAGATGCATAAGGTTTCGAGTTTAAAACTGGATTTGGTGTTACTATATTATAGTAACGTTAGCGACTAATTGATCCAAAATTTAAAAATATCGGGAACCCCCCCAACGAAATAGCCAGGCGATCCCAAATCATCAGCCGTCAATACAAAAAGATATATCTGACCTTTTGCATCTCATGATGTGTCCTAAATTATGAAAGTTTTTTAAATCAACAAAGTCATATTATAGAATTCTCGTAAATTAATCTAATATACAACATTAAATAATACGTAATTCATTTATTCACATGGCACATGTAGCTTTGACGTATTAACTTTAAAATACATAAATCTAAATTTTAATAAAAAAATATTCTCTTAAAATAGTTATTCTTTACATAAATTAATGGCACTTAACTTCGTGTTTAAACGATTTCTTTATTACGATATAACATATTTACAAATTCACTGCATAAAGATCACAAATTCTTAATTATTTCATAATCACGTGTCATTTGTTTTTTTAATACATAAATTAGTTCTTGTCGACAAGATTATAATGGCGATTTCACTATCATGTTTCTTTGTCAAAGTATGAGTTGGTCACCCCGATTTATATTTACTCATTGCATCCAACATAACGCTTAAAAAGAATTCCCACATAATAGGAATAGTTTAAGAGATCGCAATTATTTTGATTATCATATCTCTTATTTCATAAAAAAATATTATTCTATGTATGTATTCTTGTTGTATTGAATCCCCGTCCCTTAAAACATAAACTAGATTAAAACATTCACTACAAATTGCACGCTTACTTCACATATATTCCGTCCACATAAAACAGCAATTAATAAATATATTTCACCGAATCCATACAATTTCATACATTCTACCAGCGCCATATCAAATCTAAAATAGAATTCAAATTAATTTATGATTTGGTCAATTGAAAGATAATTGACACACATTTCTTTCTCATTTTAAAATGTTCATGCACTGCTTGAACTTGTCAATGTCAAAACAATCAAAATGTCAAAAAGTTGTCATATTTGATCCAATTAAACTATAGTAAACCCTTTTAACACATTTAAATGATCTGTGCTGTCTTCACGACAATATTCACTATCACTATAGCGGAATATTTATTATAACACAAATTTCTTGAATGAGGGTACTTGATTTCACACATACAAAACACATTTTTAATAAAATCTATCCTCTTCGACATCCAAATTATTTTTGTTGTTCGGTTGATTTGAGTGCCTCCTTATCGTTCCCATGGAGTCGTATTCATTTGCTATAGCCTTAGGGTAAAGCTTGGGCGTCGCAACTGAATTATTGTGGTTATTAGCATTCGATATGTTGTTGCTCTTTGATAGTACAATCCCACTGCCTCCTCCGATACCAGTAAAAGATGGCTGGCGTTTTGCTTTACGAGGCTGCGAAAGAATGTTTACATCTTTAAACTAATATTAAAGTCGTCAAATAAAAGCAAAACAGACGTAAATAAATAATAGTTTAAAAAAACTAACAAAATACGCTTTTATAAAAAATCCAACTAAAAAATTGAAGAGAAATTTTAATAAATTTGCATTAAAAATAGTGTAAGTTAAAATTTATTTTCTATAATTCTAAACTATTATTTATTTTTAATTTTTTAGTTGAATTTTTTTTTAATTTTTTTTCAATTTTTTTTAAAATATTAAATTGTCGTTGGTCCTTAATAAGTATACCAAATTTCGAGTTAATCCGACATTTTGAAGAGGGTCAAGATGATGTTCAAAGATTCCGTTACAAACATACATACGTCTGAAGCTAATAAAAGCGTATTAATAAAATAGTTCTTAACGACTTTGTGATTGACAAAACCCCTTTATAATACATTCAATTGCATTAACAATCTAATTCCTTGTCTGTCGAATGATTTGAACAAATGTATAGAACAATCAACATTACAGATGAAATTAATTAATTACGAGTATATTCAGGACTCACCACTTCCTTTAAAGGCACGGTCACATAGCTGTTTTGTTTAGCTGTGATGTAGTGAGGACTTGACGGGACCCTATGCTGTTTCTTCCATGGCATCCTCGTGCCGCGGCGCTGACAGAATATGACAAGGGACAAGCAGAGTAGACAGCCTGATATGACATAAAGAAAACTTTTCTTTAGCACGTTTGGGAAACTTAATTAAATTAATGAAAAAGGACAGACATAGCTATAGAAATGCGACAGGTATACTTCTGAAGGCTCCCACTGCGTGTGAACTGGACGTATGTCATTACATCGAGACGACAGAAATATCGACTTAGAAACGTCTTATAAATCAATGAACACCGGCTGCACGCACGAAAAAGTGTCACGTTCCGCCTTAAGCCTTAGCGTGCAAGCGAGAGCGCGAAGCAAACAATAGAGAAGTACGATCGGCTCAAGCGTTAATTTATCGACTTTTTTTTCATTTTCAATTAACTCCCTCTTTATATTGTATGTACAAAAGAATCATAGTTCAGTGATAATAACTTAATTCAATTCGTAAAAGTATGCAATCATTCATCAATGTGTCTTTATGACGATATCACGTAACACTATCATCCTTAAACTGACTTTACAGGCAACCATTTTGTTTTGTTTTCTCCAAACAATATTTAATGTACTTACCCATCACAAAGGCAGCGATAACACAGCCGACGATGCTCCCGACGCTGAGGGTCTCGTTTGGCATTGATACGAACGAAGCCACCTCATCGAACTGGCTATACGCCGGCATCGCGTACAATTCTGCACAGAATAATCTTTTACTTTTTCATTTGTTCACTGATTACTAGCGGTAGGACCTCTTGTGAGTCCGCACGGGTAGGTACCACCACCCCGCCTATTTCGGCCGTGAAGCAGTAATGCGTTTCGGTTTGAAGGGTAGGGCAGCCGTTGTAACTATACTGAGACCTTAGAACTTATTTCTCAAGGTGGGTGGCGGCATTTACTTTGTAGATGTCTATTGGCTCCGGTAACCACTTAACACCAGGTGGGCCGTGAGCTCGTCCACCCACCTAAGCAATAAAAAAACTAAAAGACAAAAAATTGTTAAGGTTTCGCGATCTAAATAGATAGGCTTTTACTGCACGTGAATTGTAGTAGTTACCTGGAAATGACCGGGTCCGTATGCCCGTAATCCTCAATGAATCTTGGATAAAACTAATCTGTCTTACTAATAACTGACCGTTATCCATGTCGTCGTTGTCGTCGGTACAGCGCGCGGCCTGTAGCTGCGGTCCGGCGCACGCCCCCCGCGCACACTCCCGCCGCCGCACGCGCTCTCCCCCCGCGCACCCGCCCCACGCCCCCCACTCGCCCCACCCCGCCTCCGTGTCTGTTACAACGATATACTAACATTAACACCATACATACACAGACCTACGTACGATACGTATCGATATTTACATTGGGAATGTAGAATCGAATAACCGTGATTTCAAACACATCAACATTCAACAATTCATACATCAAAACGGCAAAAAAATAATTAAAACGAAGGTCTAGTAGTACCAAGAAATTGTAAAAATCGATTTTGAAAATCATAGATTATACAAATTAGAAAAAATTACATCATTTCTGTTATGTCAAAAATAAATTGTTACTTGTTTTTTTTTTGTTGCTCTTGTAGGCAGACGAGCATACGGCCCACCTGATGGTGAGTGGTTACCGTCACCCATGGACTTCAGTAATGACAGGGGCAGAGCCAAGCTGCTGCCACAATAGGATTACTTAGTAATAAATACTTGATCTATTTCGTCTTTGCTTATTTATATTATACAGATAAAAAGTCCTCGAGTGGCGACCGCGTACCGGTAGACGTAGGGTGGGTAGGCCTCCCACACACAAAGTGTACGGCCAATCTATTGAGATCGCGGGGATAAACTGGATGCCACCAGCGCAGGGCCGATCGTTGTGGCGAGGCTTGGGAGAGGCTTATATCCAGCAGTGGTCGTCTGTGGGCCTAAAGATAGATAGATAGATAACTCACCAGCACAGTTGGAGACGCATAGCCGTCGTTCGAGTGCGGCTCCGGCGTCGGCACAGCCGTCCGGCGAGAGACACATCCGGGTCCGGGTTCGATGTCCGGGAGCGCTGTCTGAACATTTCCCGCTGCAATCGCTCCATTCACTCCAACAAGACCATTCGCCTAAGAAAGAAAACGTTGTCATAACCCTCTATGCATATTTTATCATGAGTCTGCGGTTCATAAGCTGCGAGTTGATTTATATGTCGTGGATAACAACTTTAGTTATATTAAGACATTGTTTTGATTATTATTTTAAATGATAAAATGTTGTTTTGATAAATATCACCAAAATATAGGGTAGACGCCGTAACGCCAGAGTATAAAATGGCGGTACGTGAACAGAGTCGTCAATCTCAGGCAGTCAGTCCGTCAGTCAGTCTCAGTCAGTTAGTCTCAGGCAGTCAGTCTGTCAGTCAGTCTCAGGCAGTCAGTCTCAGTCAGTCAGTCGGCAGTTGAAACGAAACTGTCGGTTTACCCTGTCGGTTTTTTAAATTACTAAAACTGATGGGACATGGCAACGCACCTGAGCAAGCGTGAGTATTGCAAGCCCTTAACATTTCAGCAGAACCGACGCAGGGCGGCCGTCGACATTTCCTAGTCCGGGCCTGTTGTCCACCACCACAGTTCGCCGAACAAGCTTCCCAGGGACCCCACTCTTCCCACCCTGATTCTTCTTCTGGAGGATTGCTACTGCATATACCGCGAGCATTGCAATACCTTTCTTCTTCACGAGCTATCGACAGCTGGAAACAAAGAGCTATGTTAATTTTTTTTAAAGGAGGGTAGTTTTTCTTTATTGTTTATATGGGTGGAATCTCTCACGGCTGACGGAAATGGTTTCTGACATTCAGCATGAGGTGAATATATCCATTCGTTAATATAATAGCTCTCTCACTATTCAAATCCGCAGGAATAAGCTGGCTGGTTTACTATCATAGAGTCCTTACCAGTGCGGGGAATGAGCCATAACAAAAAATCGATTGGCGATTGATAATGCTCATAAAACTACTGCCTATTCTCCAGTGAATCTTATTCTAGGCCGACACCGCTCAGAATTATATACTTAAGATTAGTGTAGGTATGTACTGCCGCACTTATTATGTGCTTAAGCCTCGCCTGCCTTAAGCGTTACCAAACTCACATGCATATAAGCCAGTTTTATTTTCTCGGGTTCAATTCGATCAATTGTACCGTCGAACATTACCAGTACACAATTGTGATGATCCACATAATATAAAGTAATGAAAAATAGTGATAATTCAATTCAAAGGTAGATAGATACGGATTAGGCTGACAGAGTCGTGTAGTATGTACTCACTTTTATTTGGTCGGGTGACGGTGCCTTACACAAAAATTTGAATCGTTTCTCTGTATAACTGCCGTCTGATAAATTACCTGATAACAAACAATTATTAAATATTAATATTAATTATAATAATATTAAAGAAAAGAAAAAGAAGAAATCTTGATAATCTAATTGACAGATATATTTTTTAATTTATATAATATTGTGACATGATTTTTTGCTTTCCAACACTTTTTGTCCTTACAAAGTCATTTGCTGTATATTGTTGAGCTGTGAATTTAAAAGTGACCACAGGTGACACATAGCGCTCGTCAAACATATCTCACTCTTTTCATAAGTAAGTGACAACCCTGAATCACTGACAAATTCGTCAGACGCCGCCTAAGACGTGGCCCAATATTGCCAGTAATCGAAAAATCGGTACACGTGCAAGCTCACAAAACGTCAAACCCTAAGTAACATTAGTTACTAGGTACCATCGCATCACCTAATTCTATGGCGAAGCCCTTATCAGCCCCGATTTGGAGAGTTAGATAACCAATACAATTGAACCTGTGACCTCGTGCTTCAAGTGTGCCAGTATTCACGTTGTGGTGTCTATGTCTGTGGTAATCAATTCTAGTTAAAACCCTTATAAATTAGACAAAAATCTATATATGTATAAAAATCGATATCTGTATATTTTTACTGGTGGTAGGACTTCTTGTAAGTCCGCACGAGTAGGTACCACCACCCTGCCTATTTCTGCCGTGAAGCAGTAATGCGTTTCGTTTTGAAAAGTGGGGCAGCCGTTGTAACTATACTGAGACCTTAGAGCTATCTCAAGGTGGGTGGCGCATTTACGTTGTAGATGTCTATGGTGATCGACAACCCGCGGTCTTTTGTTCGTTCCGGCACGGAATATCTTGCCTTGTAAGGGATGATTAAACATTTTTGTAACATTGTGCTATAAATACATGTATATGGTAAACAAATGGCTTTTTAAATAAATTCCAATTGTATGTATGTATGTATGTATGTATGTATGTATGTATGTGGGTGTGGGTGTGAGTGAGTGTGTGAGTGAGTGAGTGAGTGAGTGAGTGAGTGGGTGAGTGAGTCAGTGAGTGAGTGAGTGTGTTTACAAGTTTGTCGACTTTAAGCTAAAGTTATCAGTGAGCTTACCGGGTATCTGCACCCAAGGGGTCCAAGCTGTAGCCTTCCTGACCTCGCAAGGTTTCATATCGCAGACCTGCTTCTCGACCTTGAAACCTTCGCAGTCGATGCCGCCATGTTTAGGCGTGGGGTTGGTGCACGTTCGCTTCCGTTCTCGCCAACCGGCCGCCGGACCGCAGCCGGGACCCCCAGCACTGGTACACTGCGACCATTGGCTCCAAGCTGACCAGCCCCCATCGACCGGAACTAGATTTGGATCTGAATAGCAAAGTATCCAAAAATTAAGATAAAGATAAAGAAGCCTCTATTAACAACCTTAATTCATATTTAGGTACATACTATTCATTTAATTGCATTTGACATTGGCTAAGATTGTTTTGGTTTCGCATAGGCCTCCCCCAAATCCTGCCATAAGTCCCGGTCGTGGCATTTCAATCCAACAATTAAAAAAAATTAAATCCTTTTAATCACTGAAATGCTGATGCTGAAGCGACAATGCGTGAACTTTACAGTAGACTAATTTAATAGTTGAAATACCTGAAAAGAAATTCTATTTTAACGAATCTAGCTGTAGGATTGAAATGATTTTAATAGACCTAGTTTTTTGTTTTGTGCGCATCGCATATGGTTATTGCCTTTCATTTGTGTACGAAGCAGTTGTTGTCGCTTAGTCACGTTTGCCTTTCGAGCGTCGATATGGAGTTTAATTTTGAAATAAAATTTATTATAATTCAACAACAATCACCTGGACAAGGAGGCAGATTCGAACAGAATATATCATCGACATCGAGTCCGACGCACACGCGGCCGCCAAACTTGGGCTCCGGGGAGGAACACGTGCGCCGCCGCGACTTGACCGCTATGCCGCACGACGCCGAGCACTCGGACCACGAGGACCAGCCCGACCAGCCGCCGTGCACCGTGCAGTTCGTCACAGATATGCTGGCTCCTGGACAATAATAATAATATCAGTGACGTCCTGGATAACAATAATCACGTCGGGGTCACCAGTTTGGAGAGGCTGAACGACGAAAGGAAAATCTTCCATCGAGCGGGTGATATTGCTCGGTAGACCGACGGTCCAAATCTTATTGTTCGGAACCTGTGTATATACAAGCTTATCTTGAAAATGTCGTAAGCGAGATTCAGGCATCTGTCAAATATCTTGTGTTCTGTGATGGCTACCCGCCACAAGCACGCCCTTACGAATCCATCAGATTCAATAACCTTTGCATTAGACGCCTTCAGCTCTAACACTAGGAGCAGGATGAACGCAGCGGTACCAGATAATATGGATGAACTTTGCTCCATGATGGATTTTCCCTCCTGTTTTGCCGGTATAAAAAAAAATACCTTTACAATCCTGGCCGCCGTGTGCTGGCTTCGGGTTGTTGCACCGCCTTGTCCTGCACATGCACATATCCGGCTTCTCGTCCTCGTAAAGCGCGTGCGTGGTTCCGTCTTGCATGCACTGCTCCCATTCGGACCACGACGACCAGCCACCGTCCACTGCGAAGTATATCTTCTAATTACTATAAATAGTCTAGTACTAGTTCTAGTAACTATACTGAGAACTTAGAACTTATATCTCAAGGTGGGTGGCGTATGTACGTTGTAGATGTCTATGGGCTCCAGTAACCACTTAATATCAGGTGGGCTGTGAGCTCGTCTAAACAAAAAAAGACCATCTAACAATTATGAAAAATTAGATTTCGATCTCACACCCCAAGACCTTATTCAGAGTTTTGATGTCTATGGGCTAGACTAACCGTTTAACCACTTCTAATATTTAAAAAGCAGTAACCTCATCTAAATTATCTTCTTCTTCCCAAATGTGTCGCTTTTACATATTTGCGATTCCACCGTTATTTATATACGTCACGATATTTTTTATACGTCAAGTATTATTTTTAAAAACAGTCTGAAGGGTAGACAGGTACTTTTGCCTCAAAGTAAACATCGGAAATCAAGTTGTTTTGTCTATGGTAGTCTTAGACATAAATTTAACCTAAAAGTACATACTATTATCCGCAATACGTTTCGTCAGATTATAGAAACAGGTTTATCAGCAACATGCTTCGTCAAAAAGTACAAAACTTACTTTCAGCTACAAACGTCGTCATCTGTGGTAATCTATGGTCGTCGTCTATGGTTATTAACTGTTCGTAGAAAACAAAATATACCTGGTGAATTAGATGTGGGACAAGTAGCGGTCGATTGCACGAAGCTATGGTCGTGTAAATGGTCAACGGCCCGAACGCAACGCTCCCTGGCATCGTCCCAGCCGCAATGCGGGTCAGTTGCAGATATACAGCCGGATCGACTCTTGTACCGGGCACAACGCTCGCTGCTGATACGCACCACGCCCGTGTCGCTTCCGATGTATACTGACATCTGTGGCACAAAAACTGATGGATTAGTACGCGATAAGTACAATTTGTAGCATCGTTGCAATGACGTCATATGTGCGTACTTAATATTTGACAAAACAAAATTGAAGATTGTCCACTACTAAACTAGTTTTATGTCACGTCTTGATTAGAAAGCCGAGAATTTCAAAATAAAATATAATGTTTTCTTAAATTATCAGTTATTTTATTAAATTACATAAGACCTGGATTCTGGATTCTTCTTAGCGTAAAAATGAAAAGCCAAGTCAAACTACCTGTCGGACCACAAGATACTAGTAGTACATTCTGTGTTCTTTTTTTCCTACCTATTCTAGTAACCTCGAAAGGTTTTTCTAGATTCACCGAATTAGACGTTATATGATAATTTTTTATGTAAAAGTACAGAAGTATTTTTTACAGAAAAATAGACGGTTGTTAGCAAAATATTACAATGCTGACGAATGACACCTCAGTCGTACGTGACTATTTTAAAACTATAAAGTTTTCGTTACGTCAGAAATAATGTAACTATAATAAACAACGCCAGATTATACCATAAAAGTGTAATTATTAAATCCTAGAGCTAGGTTTCAATTAAACGTATTCAACTTACCGTGTCCTTAACGAACTGCATGGTCTTAACATCAAAACCTCCTTTTTCGTCCTTCAAATTCCATTTTTCTACCAAACACGAGCCATCCAGCCTCGGCAACACCGCCAACTTCAGCACGAAACCGCTCAGTGTTGCCACAAAAACTACTAATTGCCGTTCAACGTTCTTGGCGGCTGTCACGTCGACTGTGACGTGAGTGAATCGTTCCGAAGTCATTCTGTAGATGGGCTCGCCGGATACAGGCAGTACTGATTCGTACATTAAATTGTAACGATGGTATTCTATTGCTTGGCGAGCACTGAAACAAAATAAATTATTAATCTGAAGTCGTCGTGGCCTAAAGGATAAGACGTCCGGTGCATTCGTATATAGCGATGCAACGGTGTTCGAATCCCGCAGGCGGCTACCAATTTTTCTAATGAAATACGTACTTAACAAATGTTCACGATTAACTTCCACGGCGAAGGAATAGCATCGTGTAATAAAAATCAAACCCGCAAAATTATAATTTGCGTAATTACTGGTGGTAGGACCTCTTGTGAGTCCGCACGGGTACCACCACCCTGCCTATTTCTGCCGTGAAGCAGTAATGCGTTTTGGTTTGAAGGGTGGGGCAGCCGTTGTAACTATACTTGAGACCATAGATCTTATATTTCAAGGTGGGTGACGTATTTATGTTGTAGTTGTAGATGTCTATGGGCTCCAGTAACCACTTAACACCAGGTGAGCTGTGAGCTTGTCCACCCATCTAAGCAATAAATAAAAAATAAAAATAATAATATGAATAAGGCCTTGAATGCCTCAGTTGCTTTAGGGTAAGACGGAAAGTATACTCATCATTTTCTAACTCTATAATAAAATTAGCCAACTTATCTCCGATTTAAGGCATATATATACTTAGGCCCACAATTCTGGGTTCAAATTAAGGGTTAGATAAAACGTTATTTCGTATTTTACCAATTCAATTCAAACCTTAACGTCGTGACACAAGGCGTAAATTACATTGCTCTGCATATGACTTTTATAACTATTTAACATTAGAAATAAATATAAATAATTAAGCCTTTATTGCAGGTCTATTTAACAATATATTGTAACTTAAATTTAAATCTAAGTTATAATTCAGTATTCGATTTCTGGTAATTTTGGTTTTCGAAAGGTTCTCGACAAAGGCCTTCGCTAAAGATTTTCAATGCTCTCTATTTTTGGCTGTTCGACTCCAATACCGACTACTAAATATTACTTTAAAACATAACTATTGTATAACTATTAGACATAAACTGTTCTTAATTAATAATGTACTTATGACACATGCAATGCTTGCACTCTTTTATTTATTTATTTTTATTGCCTTCGTGGGCAGACGAGCATACGGCCCACCTGATGGTAAGTGTCACCGTCGCTCATGGACGTCAGCGATGCCAGGGATAGAACCAAGCCGCTGCCTACCATTAAGTACTCTCCGCAAGCCTCGTTTGAAGAAGCATATGTCATAACACTCGGAAAGCACCGTGGAGGGGAGCTCATTCCAAAGCCGGATGGTACGTGGCAAAAAAGATCTTTGGAAACGCACTGTCGATGCAAATGCACTCATACGTATTTTAAATTATATCATTTTACCTAGAATCAGGCACACATTTGAAGTGGTCCTTTGCCTGCTTCGACGGTGACCGTTGCTCCCATAGCGAAGTCGACGTGGCCTGCACTTTGTAAGGACCGTCGAAAGCTGCGTGAACATCAGACATGTTGTACACACAGACGGCGCTACCTATTATGCTGTTGCTGTGAAAAAGTAGAAAAACAGTTTTTAGAAAACTACAAGAGCCCGTTTATTTAATTGTCGAATGGACCCAAACAATATGAGTTTTCTAGAGAGACCTATTAAGGTTTAATTTCGATTACATATTCTCCGTCAAACGAATTAAGTCACTCTGATTTTTTTGGCTATTCCAGCCACGCCGGGACGGGTAGGTGAGCTCGCGGGCTCTTCCTGAGAGCGTTTGCTAACCCTAGCCCTAGCAAGAGCAGGGCTTCGCAGAATCTACTATAAGATCCGGCGAGGGACACAATTGGCTGTGTCTATGGAAGCTCTCTGGGGATACAACATATTTTGTAAAAGGTCAGCTTACATTTAACTGAAAACTTTAGAGATACTTTCGTCCTCATCTAACACTAAAATTAAAAAAAGAGAGAGATAAACATTCGAAATCGGTACAATAAACAATATGCACGCCAAATTAAGCCTCTATTTAAAATATAAAGTATATTATACTCAACCAAATAGGCTTATGAATCTTCAAAAAAATCGAAATAATACGTATTTATTAGTTTTTAATACGCTTTTATTTTAGCTTCAGACGTATGTATGTTTGTAACGGAATCTTTGAACACGATTTTGACCCCCTTCAAAACGTCGTATTAACTCGAAATTTGGTATATTTATTAAAGACCGATGACAATTCAATATTAAAACAAAAAAATTGAAAAAATTGAAATTCAACTAAAAAATGAAAAATAAATATTTTTTTACAATAAAATCTTTTTTTTTACACTATTTTTTATATTAATTTATAAAATTTATTTTATATTTTTTTTGTTGGATTTTCTATAAAAACGTATTTTGTTAGTTTTTTTAAACTATTATTTATTTTTTTATCTTTTTTTATATCTGTATCTCACCTAGGAGTAGTGAAAGTTGCCACAAGGATCTTTTCCTGGGCCAGGTATTCAACGCTCTGAACTTCATCGTAGTAGAAGGGCACTTCACCGGACACCGGACACTTCAGACGAGCCCTCAGAAATGTACTCCATTTGTCTTTCATCATCAGAAAGCCGCCAGCATCGTTCTTGCAGATGCGAGCAATACGGGAGTATATAATCTGAGAATTGAAAAAATATCTATTATTATTATTTATTTAAAATCTTATTAATTACATAATATTTTTTAAAAAAGATATTAAAAACACAATTTTTAAAAAACACTATATAAAAATAGATTGCCGCTGATGGCGGTGTCTACGACACAAGCCACCAGTGGTTAGGACTCCAGAGTGAGAAACCTCCTTATTATTATTATTATTATAGCAATCGCAATCAGGTCACTTTTCTCTTTAAGTCCGTTTATTTTGTTCTTCGTTTTTTTTAAAAATTAGAATGAGACAACATCAAAAAGTGTAAGAATATATTTTAAGAGCAGTTGAAACTTTTTAGCAGCGTCTTAAACGATTGTGTTGTTTTTATTATAATATTATTTACAAACTACCCACATTATTAGATCTATATCCTCCTAACTATATTATAATAGATAGATTCTAACTAACTTCTACGAGAACGTGAATGGTTTTGAAATTTAGTATAAAAAATCAACCATCATCTTTGATACCTTTAAACGAGCAATTCTTGTATATTAATATATACCTATATAATTTGAATCTCGGAAACGGCTCCAACGATTTTCATAAAATTTAGTATACAGGGGATTTCGGGGGCGATAAATCGATCTAGCTACGATTTATTTTCAGAAAATCTTGTTTTATTCGTGTTTTCAATAATCAACTCTTCCCGACATCTATTGGCGAATAATATTACTATTTTTCTTAATTGAGGGCAACTAACCGCTTTAAAGACACAACAAGATGGCGTTATCAAAAAAAAAACGAGCAAAGCTATCATCATCTAGTATTACTTACACAGCCAGACAATTAAGATGTATATTACGAGTATTACGTATGAAATGTTTTATTATAAAATCAATTTTAGTTATTTTGAAAGATAAATTTAAAATAATTTTGTATAGATAAATAATAACCAAAACATCCATTGTTTCATTAAACGAGCGAAATGATAATTAAGAAACCATTAAGCTGCTTGACACGAAAATTTATCACTGAAAACATTTACTTGGCGGGAAAAAAGTTCTTTTTTTATCTTGAATGCGTCAATAACTTATTTAGATCAGCTTATCATCATTCAGTTTGTATTATGTTTAAGCTTGGTGACGTTTAAAGCGTATTTAAATAGATTTTCTTACCTTCCCACAATTCATATATTCAACGGCCACCTCCCTGTATACAAAGTACACGAAATTATCATCTTCGAAGCTCCCGACGAACTGGGGTTCGTTCAGCCAGTTGTAATCATACTGCGTCGTGCGAAGTGTCACCGAATTCGTAGGAGAGGCACCGCGACTCCTGGATATCATACATTATGATTTTATTTGCAACGAATAAATAAATTACATTTCTTAATACATATTGTCGACTAACTAACCCGGCAGACTTTGTAGTGCCTCAATCGATAAATAAAAGACCTAAACTTTTGTATAAAATAAACAATGAATAATGAATGGACGGACTCAAGGCCCTCCTATTATTTAATGGTTCTAGGGCCCTTGAGACATGAGTCCCGAATCTCAATTTTTTATAGCACAACGACTGTTCCGCCCTCTAAACCGAAACGCATTACTGTTTCACGGCAAGCTGGTGGTACCTACCCGTGTAGACTCACAAGACGCTCTACCAACAGTGATAAAACTAGTTCATCTCAGCCTGTCCACTGCTGACAATAGGCCTCTCCAATTGATGTCAATTTGTTACGATGGACCGACCAAATAAAGGCAGTTAGCTCTAAACAGTCCCATCAACGAGTGCACAAGAAAAGCCGCGGTACGTGAGGAATGATGACGTATTGTGAAACGCACCACCACCCGAAATTATGACCACGATCACTCTGCCAAAACTGCATACGACTGAGAAGTCGTTTAAGTCGTCGCGGCCCAAAGGATAAGACGCCCGTTGCAATCGTATCTAGCGATGCACCGGTGTTCGAATCCCGCAGGCGGGTACCAATTTTTCTAGTGAAATACGTACTTAACAAATGTTCACGATTGACTTCCACGGTGAAGGAATAACATCGTGTAATAAAAATCAAACCCGCAAAATTATAATTTGCGTAATTACTGGTGGTAGGACCGCTTGTGAGTCCGCGCGGGTGAGTACCACCACCCTGCCTATTTCTGCCGTGAAGCAGTAATCCGTTTCGGTTTGAAGGGTGGGGCAGCCGTTGGAACTATACTGAGATCTTAGAACTTATATCTCAAGCTGGGTGGCACATTTACGTTGTGGATGTCCATGGGCTCCAGTAACCACTTGACACCAGGTGGGCTGTGAGCTCGTCCACCCACATAAGCAATAAAAAAAAATTAAAAAATGTTGAGTGCGGCCGATTCGTTGCCATCGAACGTGACCAAGCGATTTTCACTGGTTGGTCCATCTAGTAGGTGGTCGTCTAATACTGCGCTTGCCGTATAAAAACTAGGGATTTATTTACCTGCAAATAGCCGGATCGGAACTGCTGAAGTCAGTTGGTGTGCCGGCATAATATTCTCCGTTTGCAGCAAGTATTGCGGTCACATTTGAATGAGGATTATAAGGACAATGGGCCACCCCTGACGTTTGCTCCGATATCGTATTCAAAGACTCAATCTAGAAATTATAAAAACAAAAAGTAAGATTTCCGAAATAACAATTCAAAGGAGTCCTATATTTGACAAAGATGTCTCACGATAAGTTGATAATTTTATCTTACCTTCATTTTTCTTATTATAATATATTATTTAATTTAATAAAATAACGTCGTCTACGTGAGATACCAACATGCTGATTATTTCTGTAGCATTTTACACAATGACAACTTCGATTTTAATATAAGTTCGAACTAGATATTCAAGATAACTTGTACTATGATCATCGTCATCAACCCACATAACTGTGTAATGGTTGGCGTGAAAGCTGCAAAAGTGGATATCGCTACGACCATGTAATGCTGTTAGCTATGAACTCTGGTAATCACTCAATGAATATTCGGATCAAGAAAGATAAAATTTACCTCACGCCAACTGCAACTAGGGCTGAACGCATTTGTCCCACACGCAAACAACTTGTGTCCGTACGACAGCAGAACTTTAATGTAATTGTGGCAATCGTCTTCCGTTTGACCCTTCATTTGACAGAGTCTCGTCTTCTCGACAGGAGCTGGCCAATCAGCACGCTCCAGTTCACGTAAACCTCGTAACGATAATCGATAGAGGGCATCCCTGTTAACAAAAGAGCCGATTGTAAAGCCACAAAAACGTATATCGATAATTTAAAAACGACGCTTAATCGTTTTAAAACAGCTCTCAAAACGAGAACGTCCTTAATTTGTCAGCACCTACTTTTCAACCATAAACCTTACTACCACAGATTATAATTAAGGCTATTAAATGTTCGGATCTGAAAATGAAGTCGGTATTTATTATTTTAGTATGCCGAATGTAAATTTATTAGCATCCCGTTTTTAATCTAGAGTTACTTTGATCTGACATTGATAAATACCAGAATCTTGATTTCTGATGCCGTTTAAAAATTATCCGTAAGACGCTGGCTAACAAACTCGGAGAGACTGATCGAGTAAATGAGTCGATCGACTCAGAAGATCAGTTAGTAGTCATTGCTTGTGGAAGATCGACGTTGGAATATCATTTTTTTTAAGGGATTTTATAACCTGGTAACTAAGACCTTTAAGTCATGTCTTATTTTAATTTATATTCTTAATTTTATGAAAAATTTATGAAATTAATATGGAGTGAAATCAAATGAAGATGATTAATTTGAGTGAGACATTGATCAACTGGGAAGAAATTAAATGAAATTATATGGGATGAAATATAATCTCAGTAAAATGGTGGTCATTTACTGAGATTTTTTCAGTGGACTTTTTGGAGGATCCCGAGAAGTTACGTCCAGCAGCATTGTTTCATTTTCTCACATTAGTGGACTTTCACAGATATTAAACAGTTAATAAACCACCGTTATTACACATTTAAACCTGAAGAAACTCTAAATAGACAAAATAAAACAAATCACACAACTTCACTCCTCGCGTTCCCGCCAAAAAGTCCTTTGGAATATCATGCGAGTCAATGTTCCTAGCGTTGTCACTGTCGTTAATACGAGTATAATGTTGCGAACTATAAAAAGACAGGATTTTTTTGGTTTTTTTTTTTTATTGCTTAGTAGGATGGACGAGCTCACAGCCCACCTGGTGTTAAGTGGTTATTGGAGCCCATAGACATCTACAACGTAAATGCGCCACCCACCTCGAGATATAAGTTCTAAGGTCTCAGTATAGTTACAACGGCTACCCCACCCTTCGAACCGAAACGCATTACTGCTTCACGGCGGAAATAGGCGGGGTGGTGGTACCTACCCGTGCGGACTCACAAGAGGTCCTACCACCAGTGATTACGCAAATTAAAATTTTGCGGGTTTGGTTTTTATTACACGATGTTATTCCTTCACCGTGGAAGTCAATCGTGAACATTTGTTGAGTACGTATTTCATTAGAAAAATTGGTACCCGCCTGCGGGATTCGAACACCGGTGCATCGCTTCAACACGAATGCACCGGACGTCTTATCCTTTAGGCCACGACGACTTCAGATCAGACTTAAAATTAATAATCATCATAAATTATCACTGATGGTTTCATTGTTTCGCAAACAGACGCAGCAAATTTGGCATTGCATTCATATAAAATATTATAAGATAATGGCTATTGCAAAAAAAAAATGATTTTCTTCGTTTTGTTAGTCCTGTGCTTAGTGATTCCGATTACTGCACTACGGAGTCATGATTCAAGTCTCGCTGTCTGTATCTCTGTTTAAGTTTTAATATCCAATAATCTCTTTGACAATCTGCTTCTGAGACTAAGCAAATAAATAACAGAGTTATGACGATTTTAAACTGCTAATGATGTTCATTGATTGTACCGCACTCGTACATGAAGAAAAAACATTTTTATTATTATTGTATGTATATGTTTACGTTATTTATCTGTGTATGTATATATGTAGTCTGATATATTATGTATTAGTGTTTTATTTTTTTATTTTTGAAGTGAAAACTTTTTTAGAATCGATGTGATTTCAAACCGGATGCAACGGAAAAAACGACAGGTAAGAGACACAAATACAAAAATGTGTAGGATGAATAAGACAGAAATATACATACTATTTAATACAGCGCCATCTGTGAGATTTTTTAATACTAGCGTGTGTATGAAAGCTCTCGTAGTGAATTTTAATTTATGATTATACGTGAAATTAAAATGTCAATTCACAGAGGGCGCTACCTTACAATTATTTACTAATGACAAAATTTTACATATACTTGAGACGTTTAGGATAATTGTATTTTAATTTTGGAAGGTTTCACTTCTACCACGTGTGAATTGCACACATGTTTTTTATGTTTATTATTATTGTTTAGATTGTTAATTGTAAATTGATTAGATTGTATTCTTCTACCCACTCATTTAAAGCTTTCCTTCGTAAAGAACGATTAGCTGGTAGAAAACTCAATTGTTGAGTTAAGCTCGCCATTTTTATATCTTATCGCAATTACTCTAATATTAACTGTGTGTACAATAAAGAATAAAGAATTATTAATATTACTACATGATGTAGGAAATGATGATGTTTTGATATTTCAAATAATATTTTAGCTTGTCTCAGGTTAGAGAAGCAATAACATTATTTTGTGTATTTCAACAATGTTAAATACCTATTTCAAGAGTACTTAAATTACGTAAAAAAAAACACTAAAATTTTATAACAAAAATAAATACACACCTAATCACTGTGTGGATAAAAACAAAACAAGTTCAATGTCACAAGTCTACTAGGAACCTCGTCCTATTTCCTAGATGCATCTATTTGAAGAAGCGTGATTTGACTAACTCGTTACAATACGCAATATCCCACGACATGTCGTGCCGTGAATGCATAAGGTATTATGTTTTTCAACATTCGTATAATCCGAGAATAATTGGAGTTTCATTGAATTACGTGTTCGAGAAACATTCCTTATACGTTAAGACCGGCGTTACCTCAGTTACTGGTAATACAACTCCTTAATCCGGTCGGCTCCTAATTTACACCTGATTTTATTGACGATAGGAGTATATCGCTATCATCTAAGCTACATAAGCTACATACCATACATATGGAAAGATGCATTTGTGGTTTAGAGACTGAAGGTTTTTTATGTTTTATTATGACGGCTGAATGAGCACTACGTACTTTTTTTTATTTTATTGCCTTTGTAAGCAGACGAGCGTACGGCCCACCTGATGGTAAGTGGTTACCGTCGCCCATGGACTTCAGCAATGCCAGGAGCAAAGCCAAGCCGCTGCTTACTGTCTGCATGACTGCTATCATGATATCAAAAGCAAAACGAACCTTTAAGTATGAAATGTTTGGCTGAGTTGTGGTAGAGGTACATATGATGCTGTTAGCTACACGAGCGAGCTTCGAATATAATATTATTATATATTTTTGCCTAACTTTTGCTAGTAATCTCAGAGTTATGCTAGCTTCACCAGACGATAGCCATAGCAAGAACAGTGCTTCGCTGAATCTGAATCGCAACCCACTGAGGAGATCCGACGAGAAACTCAATGAGCTGTATCTATGAGGCTTCCGATAAGTCTTGCCATTAATAATTAAGCAAACTTATTAATTTTGCTACTTTTACGATTTTTATTACACCTCAGAAGACATACATACGTATTACACGTAACACGTATTAATTACTTATTTCCTTTAAAAGATAAAACCTGCTTGCGGGATATACTTTGTGCTACTTATTTACACAAAATGGTTTTTAGCTTCAATCACTTAACAGACAAATAGCCCTATTCGAACTGCCAAAATAATGGCCCTTGAATAAAAACATCGAATCACTCGAGATACGTTACATGATAAAGCTATAAACATCATTCGTAATCAGAAATTCAAGCGTCGGATATCAAAACTATTGCCGTAACGTAACCGATACAAATTTAATACGTTGCAACAGATAGGAAATATCGGATTGATTTATCGATCGATCCAGTTGCACTGTTCCACGGAAATGTATCGTACGATATCAATAGACCTCCTTCAATCAGTCGGTGTGTATTGACTAGCTTAGTGTAATGTTCCTCGTTACACTTGTATTCATATAAAGTTTTTAACCGACTTTTTACTGGTGGTAGGACCTCTTGTGAATCCGCGCGGGTAGGTACCACAGCCCTGCCTATTTCTGCCGTGAGGCAGTAATGCGTTTCGGTTTGAAGGGTGGGGCAGCCGTTGTAACTATACTGAGATCTTAGAACTTATATCTCAAGGTGGGTGGCGCATTTACGTTGTAGATGTCCATGGGCTCCAGTAACCACTTAACACCAGGTGGGCTGTGAGCTCGTCCACCCATCTTAGCAAAAAAAAGGAGAAGGTTCTCAATTCGACTGTATGTTTTTTTAATTTGTTAGTTACCTCATAACTTTTGACTGGGTGAATCGATTTTGATGATTCTTTTTTTATTAGAAAGCTGACGCTTTCCGTGTGATTCTATTTCATTTTAGTCCAGTTCTGATAAAGGTATCCATGAGAAAACCTTGTAAGTCTTAAATTTGCATTAAGCACGTGCGCGACAAATAGATGAATTGCTCAATAACTCAATATCACGCCAACCGATTTCGATGATTATTGTTTTTAGTGTATATTAATTTGTTTATGTAATTGTACACTATGTATTCTACTGTACTATGTCATTTGTACACTATTCTAAAAAGTTCCTTGCTATATGAACAACACATTAATAGTTACTTTTTTTTTTTTTTTTTTTTTANCTGCCCGAGCGCCTCCGAAGGAGACCTAACAACTCAAGAGCAATTGTTTCGCGAATGAATCTACTACCGGATCGGAATCGCGACCCGCTGAGAAGATCCGGGGAGAAACTCAGCGGGCTGATGCATGGGTGTTAATAGTTACTATTAAACGAACGCAAACATAACAATTTGGTTTGTTTTTCACCTAGAAATGCAAGTCAAAACTTCAGCAAACGTAATCAGAGGCTCTAAACATTTTTACCGTAAGCTCTAGAAACTTGAAGCATTTGAAGCGCCCGTCTAAAGGTGTAAAATAACACGCCCACACTTTCTGACTCGAATGTCTATAGATAAAAGAGTTTCTGTGATGTAACAAAGTCGAGAATCACTTGTTCAAATATAATTTCTAATAGTTTGACCAAAGGTTGGCCGCGTAAGGCCATGTTCATAGCATAATCGTTGCTTTGTAAAATTTAAAGGTGTTTTTCTCACGCAAATTCTTGTTACTGTTATTTCCAGCGATGAGCACATTGCTTAATTTGCACGTGTAGGCTTGGGATTTTGTAAATAGTGAGCAGAAATTTGTGTGTCGATTGAAATTTTTTACATTGCGTAGGTACTTAATTAATCCCACTAGTGATAACGAATATTAATAAATGCCGAAACGATTTTGTGATCTTCCTTGTGGGCTACACCTTTACCTTGGTGGATTCTATATTATTATTATTTTTTTATTGCTTAGCTAGTTGGACGAGCTCACAGCCCATCTGGTGTTAAGTGTAAGTATTACATAAAATTCCTATCGGAAATAGTATCTTTGTGAAAAATCTATTTTTAGTATTCGAAGCCTGTGTGTCAATTTGATTTAAGCGACATTTTTTAACATTACAGGAGAGCCAATTAAAATTTATAATTTGGAATTTTTTTTTTTACAAAAAACTTCTTCGTCTATTAGATAATTGAAGGTAATTGAAGTTCAATTAAAAACATCGAATTTTTTATACTAATACCAAATAAAACGAAACTTTAATTACAAAGATAAATGTCGCGTATTAAGCGAAACGTCGCTTAAACCATATAGCCTTTTACCCCTCGATATTATTAATTAATTACTATACACTCAATGCATAACGCCATTCATTCGTTTTAAAGTATTTAGTACTAGCGACCCGCCCTCGCTTCGCTTCGGAAACATTAAATTTTATTACTGAAGCTGAGTCCCGCGATGAAACCCGCGGTCACTGTCGGACCGCGGGTGACGCCGCGAGGCGAAGCCAGTCTAAAAAAAGTAGCCTAAGTTACTCCTTATATCATCAGCTACCTATCAGTGAAAGTCCCATCAAAATCGGTCCAGCCGTTCCAGAGATTAGCCGGAACAATCAGACAGACAGACAAGAATTGTAAAAAATGTTATTTTTGTGTATGTACCCTATATATATTCATATACATGTAGTAAAAAGCGGCTATTTCAATATTACAAACAGACACACCAATTTTATTTATATGTATATAGATTACTTAATGTCTAAATGAGTTTCATTGTATACCTCATCCCCCTTGAGGAAAAAGACCTACAAATACACTCAAATAGAATTTTCCTTTACACAAACTTGTTGATTCAGACGATGTGAAGTCTTCGTCTTTTTGAACTGAGCCGCTTGCGGTTGTCACACGCGATCTAAATACATAAACTTCTAGCACACCGGTTTTATAATGTGCGATGAATATTTCAGACAAACGCCATTTAATGAGGTAAGCTTTTGGAGTTAATTTATGTGAACATAATTCTGTGCTTCCAAAAAAAGACCGTCATTACATATACGGCATATGTTTAAAAATGTTATGATTAAAAATGAATTTACTGAGAAACCTTGATCGATAAAATGTAATATACTAATGTTCGTCCGCTAATCGAGTTTCGAGCATAATTGCTGACGCTTTAAGAAGCAAATTTGTTTAAATAAAAAACAACCAATCCACTAAAACTTTTGGGTGACAATGACATAACGAAAATAAAGTTATGAAAAATATTGAACTTCTTCTAGTCCATTGAAAAGTTACATTTAGAGTAACGCTTTTCAGAAGACGCAATTTTATTTTTTTGATGTACACGAGGGTTTAATATAAGCTTAAGTTCAAGTTTGTGGAGTCGCCACCCTAGTCCCTCGGCCGCCATCTTGAAAAAAGGGACTTCAAGGGGTTTTTGCGCTGTATCTCGTAAACTAGCAAAAACGAACCATAAGGCTTAGTTTTTATAGTTATTGTTGTTTAATTTATTTCTTTTTATTGCTTCGTTGGGTTGGCTCATGGCCCACCAAGTGTTAAGAGGTTACCTGAGCCCATAAACATGTACAACGTAAATGCCGCCACCCACCTTGAGACATGAGTTCTTAGTCACAGTTTTACAGTACAACGACTGCCCCGCCCTTCAAACCGAAACGCATTACTGCTTCACGCCAGAAATAGGCAGGGTGATGGTACCTATCCCTGCGGACTCACAAGATGACCTACCACCAGTAATTATGCAAATTATAATTTTGCGGGTTTCATTTTTATTACACGATGTTATTCCTTCACCGTGGATTATCTTAGTAGATATATCCGGCGTTACCCGGCTTATGTGAAATCCAGGCTATAAGCTATTATATCTTCGCGCGAGCTTAAGTCCAAATCGGTTCAGTCTATTTCGCATGATACAATAACCGACATACAAGCAATCAAATTTATAATACGATTTAGTGTGTATATAGATTCATAGTAGCCTTAACTTGAGTATGAATTTAAATATGAGTAATTTACCAATCTCTCTGAGGTTATCATTATGTATAGGTACTTTATATTTGTGCTATTAACCTTTCAAATATAGTTTTTGTTACAACTATCAAACTAAACTAAAACATTTGGTAGTCATCCATGATACACTTTGATCTTTATGTTTGTTTAGATCAAACATTCTCTTCGTAGAAATATTCAGAATAAGAAATAGCAATAATAAAGAACAAAGGATATTTATCATTTATAATTTTTTTAGTACAGCGAATTTAATTAGGCCCGTTAAATTATCATTTGATATAATCATCGCGTTCTACATTTTAATATGTACTATTTATCTATTAAATTATCTTGTTGTGTCTTGTAGGACTTTTTTTTTTGTTGCCTTCGTAGGCAGACGAGCATACGGCACACCTGATGGTAAGTGGTCACCGTCGCTCATGGACGTCAGCAATGCCAGGGACAGAGCCAAGCCGCTGCCTAACATTAAGTACTCTCCGAAAGCCTCGTTTGAAGAATTATATGTCATAGCGCTCGGAAAACACCGTGGAGGGGAGCTCATTTCAAAGCCGGATGGTAAATGGCAAAAAAGATCTTTGGAAACGCACTGTCGATGAACGAAGCGGTTCCAGATAATATGGATGAACTCTGCTCCGATGGCGGGAGGTGCGAGGATTTTTTTTATTTCTTTCCAATTTTTATCTTAGTATGAAAGTGAACGGTAATATGAGAAGGGAGCATCCTAAAACACTTGGATGCAATTTAAGAAAGTGCAGAGCAATTGCATAATTATGTCTTATTTGACCCCTGTGACCTAAGACGAACCGTAAGCTTGATCTACTCAAATAGACAAATCCTTAAAAAAAAAACTAGTTCAAAAAACACAAATAGCGCTTTACGATCAAAACAATAATTGACATAATTTAACAAAACAGGCGCCCCGAAATCCTTATTGCCGCTAAATATAATTTCCCCAGACACCGGGCTTTTAGAATGAAGGCGTTGCGCCCCATTAAAACCACATTCATGGACAATTAAGTCCGACATTCCGTTAACAACCTGTTCTTTGCATTGATAAAGACTTATCTTATATCATAAGTTGGTGTCAGGTGAATGACTCAGGCTGTTTGTACGAGTTATTAGGACGGGGCAGTGTACACATCGTTATCTTGGTAGCGTAGTTCTGTGGTATCATTAATATTTTTTACGACTCAAGATTAATTATGTTCATATTTAACAGACGACGAGTTGACTCGCGTGGCTCTCTTCCTCGATTTGTATTTTTTTTTAATTATCAAGGCCCAAACCGATAGACTTCTTCTTCTTTTTCTCCACCTTATCCCACTAGGTGGGGTCGGCACAGCTAATTTTTCTCTTCTATTCTCTTCTATCAGCCGTCATCTCAACACTCACTCCTCTCTTTCTCATATCGTCATTCACACACTCGATCCATGTCTTCTTCGGTCGACCCTTCCCCCTCTACCTTGCACTATCATTTCCATACATCTCCCAGTCACATGCATCTTCTCTCTACGCATCACATGTCCATACCACGCTAAACCGACAGACTTCTCGGCGCTTGAAATTAAATCATGATCTAATCAGAATTTGTTTGTAATTCTACGCATTGATGTACATAAATTTGTAATTAATTTGAAAATGTTACAGCAGAAATCGTGAGCAATCGATGTAAAATTATAATATATGGCTTTTTTTTTTTTTTTTAATGGCGTACACGCGTGATCTATCTCACGGTCAACCTTATGTTAATTGATCTCCGGAATACTATCCTTCGCCTTGAGACATGAAATCTATGTCTCAAATGTTTAGTATATAGGCTATCTCATCCTTTAAGCTGCAATGGATTACTGTTTAAGGCAGAAATTGGCAGGGTGATGATACCTACACGTGCTCACAAGACACCTTAAGGAACTACGCAAAATGTAATTTTTGTGGGTGTGATTTTCTGCTTGACGTCAAAAATAGGCAAAATAATAGTACCTAATACCTATCGTGCATAGCTACATTCAAACATAATCTAAACGATAGTCAAATCGTTTTTCCGACGGTAGCTGTTGGTAAAATTTAGCATCAGTGAAAGTCTTGTCAAAATCGGTCCAGCCGTTCCAGAGATTAGCGGGAACAAACAGACAGACAGACAAAAATTTAAAAAAATATTATTTTGGTGTATGTACCGCATTTATATTCATATGCATGTAGTAAAAAGCTGTTATTTCAATATTACAAACAGACACTCCAATTTTATTTATATGTCTAGATACACCGTACTCTATTGCTTATAGAAGCACTGAGAGGGCAATGAAACGTGAGTATTCGTCCCACCACAAATTAAATTTTGACCTTATAAGTCTCTTATTTGTATAAACCCTAGTCCACATAAGCCACTCGAAATCCAGTGCGCTGTACGACGTGAAAGCCAAAACCTAACATAAAATGGGTTTCCATCAAAATTCCCTATTATATATACACTAAGCTTAGTAAAATTCCATTAATGTCACCGGACACTCACCTTGCGCCCACGATCAGCTGGTCCCTTGCAACATCGAAAAGCAGTTGCGAAAATGATTTAGTGTTGTTATCTTCGAATATATCAGAATCGAACGCCAGCAAATCTGTAATATGAAATGAATTAAAAAAAATCGATTATAAAACAAAAACACAGCCTCAGGTCTATTTAGATTTATTAACGATTACGCATTCGAAAATTTCTAATTAAATTAATCAGTGCTGTAGGCAAAACTGGGTAAAATTTATGTCTTTAAATAAGGTAGAAACAAAAGTTTATTTTTGTGATAATTTTATCAAAACAGATCACAGTGGTATTTTATTTATTTATTGCTTAGATGGGTGGACGAGCTCAGGGCCCACTTGGTGTTAAGTGGATACCGGAGTCCATAGACACCAATAACCTAAGTACCGCTACCCGCCATGAGACATCAGTTATTGCCGCACCCTTCAAGCTGAAACGCATTACTGCTTCACGGTAGAAATAGACATGGCTATGGTCCCCGTATGTGCGGCCTCACTCGAAACCTTACTACGAATAGTTATGCAATTTTAAATTTTTGTGGTTTTTATTTTTTGTGTGGGATTTTTTTTATTACACGATCTTTTATTCTTTCGCCACGGAAGTCAATCGTGAAAATTAGTTCAATGCGTATTTCATTTAAAACATTTGAATCCTGTCTTTTTTTTATTGCTTACTGGTGGATGAGCTCACAGCCCACCTGCTGTTAAGTGGTAACTGGAACCCATAGACATCTACAATGTAAATGCGCCACCCACCTTGAGATATAAGTTCTAAGGTCTCAGTATAGTTACAACGGCTACCCCACCCTTCAAACCGAAACGCATTACTGCTTCACGGCAGAAATAGGCGGGGTGGTGGTACCTACCCGTGCGGACTCACAAGAGCTCCTACCACCAGTGGAAATGCCACCATGTCTGCGAGATTCGCTCGATACAAATGTACCGAGCGCCACGACGACTTCAAGACACTTTACGGTTGTATAGTATTTTATTTATTTTCAGTTCATTATTTCCGACATTTAGTTTAATTTACAATTTCGATGGACACGGGTGACTAAGGTTAAGGAAATTTTTGCTAATCACCGTAAAATTTTATACATATAAAAATTATTTCTTAAGAATTACGTTCGGTAACAGTAAGTATCTTGTTGTCTGGCGTTTCGTTTGACTTGGGCTTTCGTCTTCACGATAAGACGATCCCATGTATTAGATATATCTTCGACTTACGAAAACCGAAGAGAATACTAGATGCTGATAGATTTTAAAAATGGGAAGATTTTTGGATACGAGCAAACGCTAATTTAAAATTTTCAGTCTATATTATTTCGTGATGCATCCCAACACATCCGTCGGAAATCGGAATAGACATGTATGTAAGACATAAGAGAAAACAACGCAAAATTTTTGTAAATGCAAGCGCTCAGTGTCTCTGTACGAAACACGCTCCCTTTACCTACATGTACGTGTGTCTATAGAACCAGTTTCACGTGGATCGCAAGCAAACAGACAAGCCTACCCATTATTTCATTTTCTATGGATCGACCCGGACTGTGTAACTATTCCAAGGGTCATGAACCTGCGTGGGCGGCCGTGGCTAACAACTGTATGCACAATACTACAAGATCTACTTTTGCTTGCACCTTGGAACAATTCATTAAAACTATGTATTGTTATTGCGAATTGTCGTTAGTAAGCCATTGGTGATATTGCGTCATCACCTTCAAAATATCACAGTACCGTTCATATCCATCAATTCTGTATACTTCTTTCTACAAACTTCAACATTAGTGCGTAAAGTGTTCAGATCTCACAGTTTTTTTTTTGTCTGAGAGATTACTGGTGACCTGGAGGCCTTTCCAGTTTTACCAGGACAAGTGAGATCTCACAGTAATTCAGATCTCACTATTTCTCAACGCAATTTATCATATAGAATACTAGAACGCGCTAAAATATTTCTACGCTATAACCCCCATTAAAGAAAATATAACTATCCAGAATATTAATTTTGATTATTATTCCTACACCTCTATCTTAATATAACATAACAATAATTATGATTATTTATCTGTACATTACTTTGATAATAATAACATAACGTGTTTAGTTATTTGAGCGGCAATATATGATCTATCACTAACAGAAAATAAATGTAAAGCAATAAAATTAATAAAATCTGGCATTGACCTAAATGTTGTAAATAAATTGGTACTGCAATGCGAGTGTCCATAACATCTCTGCCTTATATTAGAATGATCTCCAATTACTAGTATAGTTCAATCTAGCAGAATTAACTAATAGCCATTGACTGTTTTAAGCATAGATTTCTTTATCTTAAACGACAAACAATTCTTATGAAAATACAGAAAAATTAACAAAATATGATATTGTTATTTTATGGTATTTGAAAATCAATATTTTAGTGATAATGTTAATAATAATGCAAATCATAAATCCAAAAATGAATGAAGTAAAAGAAACACCAAAAGGAAGAAACAGAAAAAGTGCCACCGTATGGCGCGTTGCAAGAAGGTATGTACCTCTTGCAACGCGTCCAATGTAGATAAAACCCAAAGAGTGTTGACGTCAGATGGGTGGCCGATCGTAAAGCCCATGCCAAATCCTTATACAGCATGATAAGAGGACATACTACACCGACCCCACACGCTATGGTTAAAAGACAAGAATCAGCCTAAGAATCCCAAGCTAACTAAGTTCGTAAATAAAATTTAATACTAATTGAAAAGAAGACATAATCGTAATACCAGGAAACCATAATCAGAATTAGGTTATATAAACTACATTACATAGATGATTGTTAATTAAACTTCGAGATGCAAATTCTCGTCTGTTTACCACGATATAATATTTACTGTAGCAATGACCATGCTTAAACAATTAAGAGCTGCCATTAAGATTTCTATTAGACAACAAGCAGGCTAGGTACTCGTTTTTATAGCTGTTTTATTCATATTTATATATTCAATAATTGATTTTATGATCTTAAAAGTTTCAATGTTGTATTTAAACAAGAACTTTCCTTTATGGTGAAGGTAAATTAATAAATTATATATGAGGTACTAAAGTTTATATGAGTTGTAAATTTATAATGATAACTTTCAATTATAGTCTACTTTGGTCGATTTATTTATTTCTATATCTTAGACTAAGGATTATACTTTTTAAATTGGAGGAGGATAATTTGGAGGAAATTTGTATTAATTTACTTATTTCTTATAATGGAAGCTGTAAAAAGAAAGTAAAAATCATTGTGAATACTTATTTTGAAATCAAGTATTTTTTTTATCTCTTTATCTTCTATCATCAGAAAATTGGAGTATTTAGAAGCATCAAATTAATACGCTTTTCCAAGTTAAGATTATTTATTTTTAAAACTATTTAACGTTTTTCTACGTGTAGCAACAAAAGAAGTAGGAAGGAATCCGTTTTATGTACTACATTATATTTTATTTCTTACCTGTCAACACAATCAAACAACGAAGCATGTTGCTGATAACTCTATTTCTGTAATCTGACGAAGCGTGTTGCGGATAATAACATGTACTTTTAGGTTAGGAATATTGTTCTTTTTTTTTATAATAAATTTATTAAATGGATCAAACAACAGACATCCCAGCAGTTCTTCTAAGATACCAACAATTTATGCAAATGTTTCGTGAATTACTTAAGAAAGTTTATCGGGTCCGAACTGCGTGTACCGATTTCTCTAATACAACAAAAACCGGACTTAGACAAGAACACAAAGTAGTCATAAAACTGCCAAACAATAATTTTCGCTTTCACACATGCTTATCTTGAAACCGTAAATTGTACGATACCCCTGGACGGTTATTAATTACGTTGTTCAAAGAACACGCGATGACACATAACGCAAATTGCGTGTTTTACTTTGATTGTAACAATCTTTTAAAGGTCATTAATTTTACAAGTCACTATATTATTGTTTGTTATGGAGAAAATAGTAGTATCGACCTTAATTAAGGCTTTTTGATTGAATTTATAAAATTGGATGATAATAGTGATAATATTTATTTAATTTCTCGCTTTAAGCTTTACGATGCCATCAAATACTTCCAAAAGATTTACAAAATTATTTTAGTTTAGAATAAAACCTCCGAAAGAGTTGGAGACCTATTATTACAAATATTCAGGCTAATATAGGGCAAGATGATACGTATGCGAAAAATATGCGCCAGAATGTAGTGTGGCTATTGAGTATATCATTGAGGCATAATAAAAAGATAATTTTGCCTGTTGCAATACGAAGTTTTCCGCGTTGATTAGAATGTCTGGGTTTCTGGTGACCATGCTATGGGTATGTACGACCCTCCCTACTTATGCTGCGAAACAGCACATTTCAATTTCAACAGTGGAAGCTCAAGTCTCAAGATGGGTTCAATCAATCACATTTCTGAACTAAAGTAAGAACCTATTACAGATGGAATGTAAAATTCATCTGCACATTAACAGCAAGAAAATTCTTTTGCTTATTCAACTGGTTGATCCACAAAAAGCTCTGTCCTAGTACCAGCTCTGAACAGTGGCGCCAAGACATTTCAATTAACATTAGTTATACAAACGATATAGGTATTAATACAATTAATAATACGATTATTTACCTTGTCTATTGATTATCCTGAAGTCATCTTCTGGCAAATCTCCTTTACACACCGATCCGAGGAGTACCAGAGCCGTTACCTTGTATATAAGGGGTCCCATCTTGAATTACTTGAAGCTACAACAAAACAGAAGGTCATCTAAAATGTATTTTATAAGTATTCAATCAATTAAAGTTGTTCAACGATATGCCCCACTTTGAAAGGTATTTTTCCCTACCTATTCACTGGTAGCCTAAAGGGCTATTCCAGCTACACGCGGCCGGGGAAAGCTAAGTCACTCAACCTCTGCACTAACTCGCTCCAGATTTGGACTTAATGGAATGGAACAATTCACGTTAATGTGTCAATGGTTATTACGTTATGGACGGCCACGTTTGGTTTAATGACCCTGACAACTACACAACAGGTTCTTGATTCGATTACTCGGTCGCAATTAAAATATTGGAAATGTTTGAGACGATTTGGATATGGACCACATCTTAACCCGAACGTACTTTTCAGATTCGAGCATTAATTAGCATAGGATGCACAGCCGCTAATTTTTCCGGCAGTTTCCGTGATGTAGTGAGAAATGTGTAGGCAGAGTGCAATCCGGCTCGCGTCGGTACCTAACTAGACAATTGGGAATATATCATTTTCACCCAAGCCCTTTGACTGTATGGTGTCGGCCTAAAATAGTGAGTACTTCCGCTTCTTTTCTCGTGAGTACGTTAAGAGGCGTCTAAGAGGGATTTACCGCAAAATGGGCAGCAGTGTTCTCTTCTCCAGCGAAATATAGGCCCGTACTGATAGGTACGAATATCTTGCCTAATTGTGTCGTAAATTCCGGTTTGAAGGGTGGGAAAGTCGTTATATAATAATTCACGCATATGGACCCTGGTCACCGTTTTTCACCAAGAGAACCATGAGCTACACCTTCACAAAGTTGTTCCCAATTAAATATGTTGATTTTTTTACTTTTTATTATTATTTTTTTGTCGAGTAGTTAGTCGCTGTCATAAGACGACAGTACGGAAAAGGTTCGTTATGATTACATTCTGCGATTCTGTCGCGTGCGGAAGCTCTGTCGATTTGACTCAATATGATTTATAACCCCGTTCTATTTTACTGTTTGATTTATTCCTGCAGTCTAGTTTCACTTTATTAGAAAATTGTATTTACAACACATATTTAGATTTGAGTATTAAAGATTGTTTGGTTAAGATCCCTTTTTGGGGTATAATTTTTATTATTTATATAGTATTTCACGTTCAAAAATGCCGATCAACATTAGACATAGGAAAATACTACAGACTGCTTCCCATCTCATCATCAACCTATATCTCTCCACTGCTCGATGTAGGCCTCTCCTATAGTCTGCCACAATGAACGGTACGCAACCTTCTGCATCCAATCTCTTCCCGCAAGCCATCAGCCCACTGGGCAGGGGTATGCCCACCGCTGCGCTTACTGATACATGGTCTCTAGTCCAGAACGCATCTGTTCCATTAGCCATCGGTTCTGCGACACGTATATTTATCCCATCGCCACTTCATCTTGCTAGCCTTTAAGGACTATATCAGTTACTTTGGTTCTTCGACGGATTTCCTCATTTATGAGTCGATCCATCAAAGAAACTCCAAACAAACCCCTTTCTATAACGCGTTAAGCGACTTTGAACTTACGAACCAGACCTCAGATCAATGTTCACGTTTAAGGACCATATGACATGACCGGTAGCACGCACGCACTTCCAATCCAACTAATATTAACTTCATGGGACTGCTCAACTGAGCACGCTAGTTTAAAAAGCGACCTATCAAAAAAAAGACCGTTTAGTGTAATCACTCAAAATTGTACTGCTCAGAATTATTTTGTGGCGAAACCTTTGGTTCCATCACGCGCATGCGCTGCTAAAAAGAATCCAGGAGGCCATTATCCCCGCCATAAGAAAGTAAGATTGTACATTTTTACATAAAATAAACATTTTATTATTTTATTTAGAGCTGCTTTTATTTAAGCGTCCTAAATTGGTGACCCCGACGTGATATGAACACGCAACCTTAAATAAAATCGGCCTAAAAGTTTCATAGTTTGATTTGATTCCGTTAGACCTTACACAGATCGGTATATAGTAAAGACACTCTTTTAAATGCGTTATCAGTTCCTACCGTCAATCTACGTCCATTTGTCTATCCGTCTGTCAGTGCCGTATCTTGCATTACATGTGAAGCTCGGTGTACCTAAGCACATTCAATATAGCTGTTAACGAGTACTGATACCCGGGAACGGGCTATTGTTTGTTTTGCTTCGAACGTTATTACAAAGTTATTTTGTTTAGCGACGAGTTTTGTTTTTAAACAGCTGCATACACTTTTTCAGTCTCTACTGAACGAGTGACGTCATTCACTGCCAACATAAGCGACGATAGATTAAGCGCTAATATTGACTAGCCTCAAATGACATCACCATATTACTTCTTTTTATGAGCGGTTCCAATTCTTTTGTATTTATAGTAAAATTAAGCTTTCGATGATCGTCTGGAAAGGCTGTTACATACATCATATTAAATCTCATTATTTATTAATGAGATTTAGACTATAACAGAAATACGTCTGATGTAACAACAAGGTGTCTTTGACTCCGAATGTTTGTCTGTTTGCTTATTATTAGTTAATCTACGCGCTTCAGTATTACGCAAAATTTATTAGACAAATTATGACAGAACTTCTGTATTTCAAAGCTCATTATAGAAATTACTAGAAATTACACTTAAGATCGGATTTTTCAGTACCTATACATTAGAACTGTCATTTATCTTGGTTTATTATGATAGGGCCCTTTTGTTTGCAACTGAATGCCTTATGGATTTAATGTCAAAGGAAATTGTATTAAAATAGTTGTTTAGTTAGATGGGTGGACGAGCTCATGACCCACCTGGTGTTAAGTGGTAACCGGAGCCCATAGACATCAACAACGTAAATGCCGCCACCCACCTTGAGACATGAGTTCTATGTCTCAGTTTTACAGTACGACTGCCCCGTCCTTCAAGCCGAAGCAAATTACTCCTTCACGGCAGAAATAAGCATGGTGGTGGGTGGTACCTACCCGTGCGGTTTCACAAGACACCCTGCTACCAGTTGACGCCCTCTCTGTCTCTTTGTCTCCACCTTATTCTACGAGGTGGGGCCGACACAGCGAGTTTTTCTATTTCATTCTCTTCTATCAGCCGTCATCTCAACACTCACTCCTCTTTCTCTCATATCATCATTCACACACTCCATCCATGCCTTCTTCGTTCGATCTCTTCCCCCTTTACCTTGCACTAGCATTTCCATACATCTCCTAGTCACATGCATCTTCTCTCAACGCATCACATCTCCATATCACGCTCTTAAATTTGTCGATCACCTCGGCTACTTTCACACTTCCTCTGATACTGGTATATCAGAGGAAGTGTGAAAGTAGCCGCCCTACCACCAGTGAACTATCTGAATAAAACACAGTTGCTCATCGCAGTGACCTCCTTCGATACTATCAACAATTTTATCCACATGCTAATTCTATTAATGAATACATCCGTATTATCACTTCTTCACTATCTATTTTAGTACAATAACGCAATTCTCTACTAACCGCAAGTAGATTACGGTATGCTTACATTCTGTCCTTAGCTTGGCCTTGAACATTTTTAAAAATATCACTAACTTACGAATATAAATATCCAAAAAGACAAAGGTAAAATCGACGACCGGTCGTGATGCATTTCATTATTAATCAGAAAAACCGTATGTTATTTTATATTTACACTCCCGTGTCACAAAGGAACAAACAAATCACAGTGAATACTAATAATAATTGAGGTTCGATCTTCCAAATTTCATAATCACAAAACAACTCCCAATCACAAGAACTTGTTTGTAAACGAAGTTATCATTATGCAAATTTAGATCGGAGATTCAACTGATGCAACGTAATGAATGTATCGAAATCACGATACGGATTATCGGCAGAGGCGACGAAACAATATGAAGATATAACCAGTCTGTGTTATAAGAAATAGATTGTACTAGAGGTCCCGCAGTAGTCGAAATTTGACTATAATAAATTGGAATTGTAAGTTTGTACACTATTATGATTGTATTTTATACTTCTATAATCACAAATTTCGCCAAGACTACGCTATAAAAAATATTAACAAAGACAAACAATATTTAATCTATTCTCAATTTGACCACAGACGTCAAGAACAAAAGTTTGACAATAAATAGTATGCATGCGTGTGTGCGTCAAATACATGGTCTGTAGTGTGAGTAATGTTTTCTTTATTGATTTAATGTATCTTTTATGCATGATTTAAAAAAAATATTAACATTGTGCACTTCTTCACTACATTCTCTATAAGTGTGGAAAATTTCATACTCCTCCGCCCGCGCAATTTTCGTAAAAAGGGATACAAAGTTTTTGATTCACGTATTATAATATATAGATTTGAATAGTCTCCCGTGTTGACCACATGAAACATCGGAAATATGGAGGTGACGATATAATTATTATTATTTTATTGAAATCAAATAAATAAAAATTTCAACATAGATGAAAGTACATACTTGTTGAACGTCAAAAAGAACTACCGCCAATTCACAAAAACTAGCCTCCGTCCTGAGAAGAACTGGCAAGAAACTCAGCGGGCATGTCTTTTTTTTAATTAGTTTTTTTTTTTTAATAATAACCTTTTTTTTTTATATTAATTGTTACAAGAGGTATTATAACGTAACAATTATTGCAATATTGAAATGCCCGGCGCGAGCAACTCATTCCAACTTTGTGCAATCTTCTAGATAATCATTGACTTTATAGTAAGCTTTATTGCATAGATGTTCTTTAATAGTTTTCTTAAACCTATGTATATGTAGGCTCTGAATATCTTGTGGGATTTTATTGTACACGCGCACAGACAAACACCCCGATGAATTTCCTATCTTATATAACCTACTCATCGGCACATCAAGCTTGTGTTTGTTGTATTGTATTGCTCTTGTAGGCAGACTAGCATACGGCCCACCTGATGATGAGAGATTACCATCGCCCCTGGGACTTCAGTAATGCCAAGGGGAATTTCCAAGCCGCTCCCTAC